CATACTTTAAAATGATAACAGAACTAATGCAATTAATTTCAAGAATAAGGCAAATATATAAACATATTATCAAATTTTAGGAACTCAAACAAAACTATTATCTTATATATTGTATTTATGTTCTAAAACTATGTTTCATCATAAGATAAATGCAATCCACAAATATTTAAGAGCATAGTAGGATCTGGATCTTCAATAAACATCAGATTTTATAAATTATTTTTAACACATCTTAAATAAATGAGCTTAATTTAAAACATAATTCATTTAACCTTAATTTGGTCTGAAAAAACAACCAAAACTAAGAAAGAAACACACAATACACTTATTTTAATGCAAAATGATTTATTTTCTGTATTGCTGATACTAATGATTTTCTTTCTTACTTTCAGATTCTTTTACAGTAGCAAGTCTTGTTATAATGTCTACAGAAAAAAGTCATGTTCTAAAAATCAATGGCAATTCAAATTAAAAAATGTCAGTGTTTCAAACTCTTAAAATACATATTGTTGCAAGAAAAATGTGCTCATTTTAATTGTCAACAACTTCTATCTTTATTTCCTTAATTTTAATATCATAATTTTATCATTTATATTTCAGTTTGATATGTATTTTTTGGACACACTTTTATATTAACATCTTTGAAAAAACATTTTTAAGAGACATATTAATATAAAACATGTATCAAAACATCTACTTAATACATTTCTAACATATCAAAATGTTACAAGATTATTCTATAGAATAACTGCTTCATCTATTGATATTTCAAATGCAAACATGAAAGTTATAAAATTCTGTGCATATTTAACTATAGTATAACTTTCCATTTTGTCCTTTTTTCATGCCATCCTGGATTTGTCTAAGTCCACAAAGGAAATCTGGTTATCATCCTCATCATATCCACTTCCTTATTGCCTTGATCAAGTATTGTCATGCTTAAAGCCAAACAATTATCTGATTACATCAAACTATATTACTACTACTATTAAAAATTAAAATACTAAATAATTTGATCTAGAGGTAGATGTTAGGCACCACTTCTTACTAAATTTAAGAATTAGCTTCATTGCCAGTTATACTATCCAGACCTCTGTCCAATCTTCACCTCCAGAGCTATTAATTTAATTTACATATAACCATACCAGTTAGTAATGGCACTAAGTGGGGATGACTCAGCATCCACAACATAACTCCCACTCTGGCATTCAGTCAGCTATCATTTTATCCCAGCATTGCACTGTACATATATATACAAATATAAATATCTATAAACCCACTAGTTATATTAAAGCCAAACAATTGCTGGACTTGATCTCACTATATTACTGCTACTATTAATAATTAAAATGCTATGTATCAATAATTTGGCCTAGAGGTAGTAATTAGGTGTCATCCTTATCAAATTAAATAATTGGCAATACAACCATATGGTATATAGGAGTTTGAGGTTTGAGTCCTACTCTGAGCCTTTTTCCTCCATAACCTTCTAAATTAATTACAATTACAGTACAACCCTGCTTAATGTGGGGGATGCATTCCTAGACAACAAAGCACTAAGCAAAACAGTGTTAAACGTGGTCATTTTAACATAGAATAAATAGGGAAACATAGGGGGAACATAAATAGGGGAACACGAAACCAAAAATCAACAAATTTTACTTTAAGTTATTTTTATATTAATTTGTATAATAATATATGTTAAATAATACATAAACATAAGCACACAAAAAGTGTAAAAGTTCATTTTTTGTGACAAAGGTCCTGACTTTTCTGAAATTCTTGTTTTTTTGCAATAAAGTCGTGAAGTTTCATTTGTCGCTTTTTTCTTTCCTTAAGCAAATGTCAGTAGCAGAAGATCGCATCCAAAACACCTCCTTTTTCTTTTACACTCCTTTCAAAATCTAGATCATTTGCTACAATTTGATCAATGATTTTGGTTATCGTTACCAAACTTTTACTAAGGAAATCTGTAGAGAAATTTTTTGGGTTCTTCGTTTTCAGAATCACTATTTTCCAGTTCTACATGGATTCCTTGTTCTGCCAGTTCTTGAAGGTCGTTGTTGATAAGACTCTCACCAGAAACCTGCTATAACTCCCTCAATATCCTGTTTGTCTACATCTCCTAGTCCTGCTGTATTGATTAGGTTGAGTTTGATCAACCTAACAATACAGTGATAGGCTCTTCTCGTTGAGAATTCTTGGATACCTTCAGCCATAACTTCTTCCACACTTTGTTCGCGCATATATCAGTTAATTCTTGCCAAGCAAAGCTGTTATTGCCTATGGCATCCATGATGTTATATTTTTCCAAAATTATACCAAACAAACAGATTTAAAGAAAGTACACCTTTTTGCTATTTTCTGCTGATTAGTTTGTGTTCACTAAGAATCGTATTATATATGAATCAACGAAATGTGCAATAATTTAAATCAGCATAAATTTTGAGCTTTTTTTAGGCTTCGAGCAGACCACGTTATATTGAATCAGCATTAAGTGGGATCTTATTGTATTAAATTTAATAAAAGATTATGCACTAGGCCAAATTACTTAATACCTTAATTATTAATAGTAGCAATAATAGAGCCTGATGAAATCTGGAATTGTTTGACAATATTTTTATTTATTTATTATTTATTTTATTGTCATGGGATTTATTGTTATGTGGAAATGGAAATATTTTGTCTTACTCAGACTTTTCCAATTGTAATTACAATAAATAAATAATATAACTATCAGGCTTATAGATGTTTTTTATTTGTGATGCTTTCTATAATTTCTGAAGATGATTGCTTCTATTGGCACTTTGAAGCTAAGGGGACTTTTGCTTACATCCATTTTTCTCACACAGGCACTTCAATATTCCTGGAAAGCTTCCAAAAGAACCTTTACCTGCATATTCAATTCTAAGATGCACTGCACGAATAATCATCTTTAGGCATCATTAAGATAAGTCATGATTCAATCTATGATAAAATTTTCAAAGGAGATAAGTCTGCAATATAGCATTTGTAATGTATGCAATATTCTTTTGATTTCATTTTTTTTCAAGTTAAGAACAAAAGTGAATGCTCCCATTTCCATCATCTCCAACAATACTTGTAAATATCAGTGGTGTACTGTCCATGGAAGCTGTGAAAGTGCAGCTTCCCTTTTATTTTCTAAAATATAAATACATATTGTGCAATTATTTTCATATTTTAATGTACTTTGAATTACTTAAAATTACTTATTTTGTTATAACCACATTATGTATATTACAAATTTCTATATTACATGTGAAAAAAACAATAAGATTGCTATTGTATATTCGAATATAAATTCGTACATGCATATTCCCAATGGAAGTGCTGTATTATCGAATACGGGGCAACTTCCACAGCCAAAATATTTGAATCGTGTAAAGCAGCCAGATTACAAACATTTGTGCATGCACTTTACAAAGCACCAACATCACACAGTTTAGCTCATGAATGCTACACCAAAATACCGTATAATGCTTCCAATGATTCTATCCAGGGCCGGCACAACTTCCCTATCATCAAATGTCACCGCACACCACTGGTAAATATATAAGGACTTTTTATAAAATCTGTTAATAAATGGTGTTCTGGGGAAATAATTGAAGCCATAGAAGTTACAGTATGTAAGAGATATGTTAGGTGAAGTTGAGATGAACTAATGTAGCAATTTGCAGTTTACTAGATCATGGAAATTTGGAAGCTAATATACATACATCAAGTATTGGAACTACTAATTGAAGTTCATTAAGTTGCTACACACAAATAAGATCATGAAAAAACACATACAATGTACTGTACACATATAATTCTTTTTTGATTTATCAATACTACTGGCAAAATTCTGTGGTTCTTCAGTCTTTAAAGCTTTGTACCAACAAGGGGAGCCCGGGAGGTCGTCATCACCGATTTCGATGAAATTTTGGGGACGTGTAGTATTTACTCCCTACTTAAACTCTGCCAAAGCCGGAGGACCCACTAGTCGGGCATTCTTGAAAAATCACAATCAAAGTTTTTCTAGAACTATTAATATGTATGAGAAGCAACATTCACGTGTATATGGTTTGGTCTAATTAGTTAAGGTGCATGCGTAATTAGTTAATCTGTGTGGAGAGCATTACTATATGGGTTTGAATCCCATGTCTGATATTTTTTTTTACATTTATAATTTAATCTTATTGTTAATTCAATTTGTTATGCACAGTTTTTAGTCATTGAAAATTTATTTTTTATTTTGATCACTCCATATATACTTGTTAGAAAATATATAACATTATAATCACATTTTGTATTGTTTAGCATTAATGTAAGTTCTTACATTAAATATAACAAACAATGCAAAGCCCAATAAGTATATAGAAACATCACGAAACGATCACCTAAATAATCGTACCATAATTCCACTAATTTAAATAATTAATACTTATACAGGCAACTCTGCAAGATATTAGCCTTCGAATGTCAAAATGGCAAAACGGCACTACCGCTCACTCTCCAAGTTTCACATCGGTCGAGGCCGACCATTGCTCGTCTCGCATAGTCGTGCACTTCGGCGCTAACCGTCGCTCGCGCCTCGGCACCCGCACCCTCCGAAACTATACAACGTCAAGTATTCCACGAACGGTCGAGCGGTCCACTCAAAACCGGAATATTCGTGCGGGCTTAGCAAAACGACACCAATCCCAATCGCACGCAACCCAGAAATAGACCAAATTTAGGGGGGCCGTATCTGGCGAAGGGTCGCACATGGAGGTATGGTTCCTTTGACGTTTTTGCTCCCGTGGGTATGGTGTACAGTTCTGACAAGGTCCCGAGCGACTCACTCAAAGCTGTAATTGTATCCAAAATAAACGTCACACGGACCCATCGTTTCTGCGCGCATAAAAATGCTCAGAAACTTTATAAAAAATGATAAGTAACCGACATTGGTGACATACAGTTAGTCTTATCGTTATTAAGTGAATCGACTAACAACTTACCAGCCGATCTGTCGAAGCGTGTGAATCACGATATTATCTACTTCTTCCATTTACTCCAGAACGAAAATAAACGCAATCAACAAATTCGGACAAACACAACACTTTTATTAGAAAAAAGATTCCGTGCAATCATCCCATATATTCAGACGACTAATCATTTAGTCGGGAAACACCTCCGACACGGCGATCGAAGCGCCATCTCGGTGTCGGAATTAATCGTTAATTTTTGGAATATTCGCGTATTATTAAAAATTTTTTATTTATTGTCAAATAAAGAAAATCAAACTAAATAAATAAGAAAGTTTTATAACAATTTTTTTAGATTTATATTTAACGGCTTTATATTGCCAGATGTCTCGATCATTTATAACCCAAGGCCGGATGGACGACAAGTTAATATAATGTTACGTACCGTATTTTCGCGCGATTTACCTACGGGTTATCGGTGTTTAATTAAAGGAATTTTAAAATGATGCGGATTATATTCCGATTTTAAATTGCAATTACGAAACTTGTGCCTACGGAGTAGCTATTGTTCCATAGATGTTGATTATAAAGGTTTCTGCGTGGACGGTGTCGTAGCCGGAGGTTGCAACTTGAGAGGAAGAAGTTGCATCCTCTTGCTTGACCAGTTACTAATATTCATTTTCGAACAATTGAAACTCATCTGTATATAAGTGTAAAAATAAACTAAAGTCAGTCGCCACATAAGTATAAATCTAAATCGTAAAACTGAGTTTTCATATTTTCCTCAAATTTCTCAAACCGGCTCTTGCGGCAGATCGCTATCGAAAGTATATGAGTGACAAACATCGTAGTATTGATAAACCAGTAGCGTGCCGTCATTAGAAGCGGTGGACGCGCCGCTTCCCTCGTATTTTCTAAAAAAATAAATACATATTAATTTTAATTATATGAAAATAATCGCACAATATTTTATTATAACCGCATTGTGTATCTGATTACAAATTTTTATACTACACGTGAAAAAAAAATAAGATTGCTATTTATATTCGAATATAAGTGGCGGAGTGGAATCTCTGTATTGTCAGATTCCAAAAAGCCAGATTTGCGCATGCACTTTACAGAGCACCAACCTCACCCGGTTTAGCCGGTGGAAGCCTACGACTATGGGTTGATGCTACCCATATAACGCTTCCAATTCTATCCGGGACCGGTTCCGGGCTGTTAGCCGCCCGCCCGCTAGATATTTGGCCGATTACGTGAATAACGAGTAGATTTATAACTTAACCCAACCGATAAAAATTTACTGGTATGTTTTTACGATAGTTCTGTATAGTTGACGAAGTTTAAAAAATCCATTAAAATATTTGATATATTTATTCCGCTTTCCGATTTTATATTACTCACGGATTTCGATGTTAAACCGGTGATATTACAATTTCGTACGTCCCATGTTTAAGGGGATGTAGAAAAAAACGTGTACAATTCTCGTATAATGTTAAAAAATTAACCGTTACTTTTGTAGCATCATTTACAACTAAATTTAATGAATGAGAGAGATGCACCAGGTACAGAAAAAGCTCTAGAATTTATTTTCCTTAAATTTACGATTTATGTATCCGTTTGTCATAAAAATTTGTCTTTCCACTTTTTCCCGAGACTACAAATATTCGAGTACAAAGTAACCGGTTTCGACTTATTTCTACTTAAGAAGTAGTTAAATAATTAAGCGANTCCAGGTCGCCCAGGAGTTGTCGTCTTCTCCAGGGGCCTGGTTGACTGTGTATGCCAGCCTCTCGTGTGGGTGGTTAAGGTCGACATTATTCTCCCTTGTCCCATCCAGACCATTTGCCTGGATGTTGGCCATGATGTCCGACAAGCCTTTGGTAACATCGTCGTTATTTTTGTTTTGGTTTGTGGCGTAGCAGGGCCAGGGGAGTTTGCCCCTAGAGATGAACCAGTACCAGGCGGTGTACCTGGCTTGAATGTGGATTGGGGTAAGGCCGGCTAGTACCAGGAGAGCATTAGTTGGCGCAGTACGATAAGAGCGGCAGATTTGGATAGTGAACCTGCGCTGGATTGAAAGAAGCTGCCGTCTAACCTTAATGTTGGATAGAGCCTCGTGCCAAACAGGGCTGGCATACAGCAGGGCTGGTTCCATTGCAGCCTTGTAGATCATTCTACTGTTCTTATAACTTAGTCCCCAATATTTTCCAGTGATCCATTTTAAAATGTTTGCTTTTTGAATAGTCTGTTGGTAGAGCATCTTGATATGATGGTGCCAGTTCAAATTTTCGTCGAAATATATGCCGAGATATTTTAATTCCTTAGTAACTTTTACTTTGGTTTTTGCTATAAAAATATCAGGCGCCCTCTTCAGCCGGCCGCCAATTCTCCGTCTAGTGCAAACCAGCGCCTGGCATTTCTCAAAGTTTATTGGCAGTTTGTTCTTGCTGCTCCATTCGTGAATAAATTTCAGGTGGTTGTTTGTGTTGTCTGCTAACTTGTCGCAGCTCCTGTGTGCCACCAACAGCAGCAGGTCATCAGCGAATGCCTGGATGGCTGCCTCCTCAGTGTTGGTAAATCAATTAAGGAGGTCATCGAAAACCAGTTTCCACATCCCTGGCCCACATCTGGATCCCTGTGGATATTCTCTGTTGATATGTTTCCTGATATTGATGGTATTTGAATGAAAGACCACACTCCTGTTTGACAGATAGCTTTTTGTGAGCCTAAGGATGTTTCGTGGGCAGTTGGTGTCCTTTAACCTCTTGAGAACACTCGGCCACCACAAGTGGTCGAATGCCTTTCGAAAGTCTATGCTAACAAGTATAGCATGGTTATTCTTTTCCCATGCCTTTGTGACAAAGGACTTAACTTGCAGGGCCGCGTCTGTCGTAGATTTCCCCTGTCTAAATCCATATTGGTTTGGGCTCTGATGGTTGTTGTGGTTTAGGTGCCAGTTAATTCTACCAATTAATAGACCATCCAGAGCTTTCCCCAGTACTGGGAGAAGGCTTATTGGTCTGTAATGACTAGGCTTGGACGGTGTATCCTCTTTTGGGATCAGTTTGATGTTTCCCACTTTCCAATTACTGGGAAATAGGCCTGTTTCCAGGCACTTGTTGAAGAGGTGAACTATGGCCATTGGAATCGCCTTGAATGCCTCCTTTGCCATTTCCGGTGTGACACCATCCAACCCTGGTGCTTTTTTATTCGTAAGAGACATAACTGCTTTCTCCACCTCTCGAAAAGAGAATAGCTTGTCATTGTTGGTAGTTGGAAAGTCCCTACACTCGTTTCGTATGCTCTGATGGATTGGTGTATCGTCCTCGGTAAGATCCATTGGGAAGTGGTAGTCCAAAATCTCCTTGATGTTGTTTTCAATGTCAGGGATTTCCTCATTATCAGGTTGGTCCAAAGTTAGAATATCCGGGAGGTTTAGTTTTGGTCTTTTCTTGTATACTACATAGTAAGGGGTATCCCATGGCCCGTTATTGCTATTTTTGCTACAAAATTCTCTCCATGCTTTGGTCCTAGTCTTGTTAATGTGCTTTTTATAGTCTTTCAGTGCGATTTTGTATTCTTTCTGTAACTTGATTCTATCATCCTCGTTGTTGGTCTAATCATTTTCTTACGAGTTTTGTTGGTCCTCTTTTTCAGGATGGTTAATTTTTAGGTCCACCAGTGGGTATTTTTTTCCTGGTCCTTGTAGTAATAATTGCCTGCTCCCTTGCTGAATATATTGCGTCTGTAATATAGTTGGCATAGTCGTCTAGGTTCTTCTGGGTTTTAATAGGGGGGAAGTTGTGGTTTCTCCATTGCTGACCGAAGATCTCCCGAAATAGCTCCCAGTTGGTGTGAACGACCCGGTACCTAGTCGGATATATGTGGGTGACAAAATCCGATAACTGAGTGAGAATATAACGGTGGTCACTGGCCGATGTGACCAACAAGGTTTCGCAATTTATGATGCGGTGGCTAAGTTCCGTGGACACCAAGCAGACATCAGTCCATCCCTCTGCATATGGAGTATGGAAGGTAGGATGAGTGGTCATATTTGTAGATATCAAGCCATCTGCATCCATGAGGTCGGCCACCAGTCGTCCTCTTTTGTCCTCCCGAGTGTGGAACCATATGGGCGATTTGGCATTGAGATCGCCAGAGACAATAATGTTTTTACTATCAATTTTCCTGATTGTGGTAGCCAACTCATTAATACATTCCTCATCCTCATCGTCCGGAGGAAAGTAGGCACTAATGATGTAAATCGGCCTGGGTTGCTGAATAACTGCAGTGCAGATCCTGTCCGAACAGAGGTGAGGGATAAGTGCGATGTCCAGCTCGCCATTACAAACAACAATTCCACACTTTGGTCTGGTGTTGCTGTGGCCCGCTAGGACCCGCCAGTTTCCAAACCTGACGATCATATTTCCAATCGTATAGGGCTCTTGAATCGTGATTATATCACTGTTGGTGTCGTTTGCCGTTTTGATAAGTAGGGAGCTGGCTGCCTTACTTTTCTGAGCATTCAGCTGCAGGATCTTGATAGTTGTGACCTTATGGTTGTGGTTGTTGTCGATGAAGTCCCTGGTCTGTTGACCGTCGGTGTTGGTATTCTGATTAATATTTGTAAGTTGACTATAGGCCATAATTGGTTTTATTGATCGTCTGCTGTTTCAGTCGCTGAAGTATTGGACAGTATATGCTGAATGCATTGTGGTGGACAGAGTATCTTTTACTTTCTGGGAGACTTTCATTTGCTTTTTTGCAGTTAATACAGGTTGGATTTTTTTGCCGACGGTCACATTCTTTGTAGGTATGTCCTTTGGAACAGTGGCTGCATCTGCTGTCGTTTGAACAGTCACGTGCGTAGTGGTCGAAACCACAGCATCGAAAGCATCTCACCACCGGTATAAAGTCGTCAACATAGATTGTGGACCAGGACATGGAGATATGTCTGTGGTGTACAAGCACGTTTCTTACTCCAGGGGTGACAGATAGTACTATATTCCTACAATTCTCTTTAATTCTTCCATGATTTAGAATTGTACTGATCTTACAGGACGCTGTCACTTCTTCAGGCTTCATGGTGCCCCAGATCTTATTTTGTTCTACCATTATTTTGATTATCTCGTCCTCCGCAATGTAATTCGGGACATTGAGGAGGATGACCCTAGGTCTTCTCCCTTCTGAAATTTTGCAGTTGATAGTTTGTTGTAATTCTGGAATGG